GAACAGTGGCAAGGAGCATAACTTTCGTTTTGTAACAGAAACCACTCAGTATTACTGATAAATGAAATTCAATTAATGTTTATTACATGCTCAACTAATGTTTAATGAACATTCATACAAGAAGTGCTTGTACGTCCTTTATCATGTTCTGACTCTCCTATCTATCCTTAGTGTGAGTTTTCTCTTGCCAGCTGGTACCAGGATGGAAGCAGTAAAACCAAAAGCAGGACTGGTCTTGAACAGATGTCAAGAAAGGACAATGCCAACAGATTTCCAAAATGCAACCCATCCAGTGACTAAGAAATCAAGGCCAACCAAGATGGCCACAAATCTGAACAGTGGCCCTTTAAGAGAAGGAACCATGGGTATAATTAAGATCAAAATGTAATCAAAATCTTAATATTTTGATTAAGATAAAAAAACCCCAGAAACAAGAGAGGTGTGCAGTTATTCCTTAAAAATTAGCATGACCCACACATTACTGGTGTGTAACCTCTCTGAAGGCCCCACGCTATATCCCCACGGGTGTGTCTCCATACTTTTCTGAAGCTGGTTATCTGACTAACAAGTTTAAAAGATAAATCTTGTCCATCTGATTTAAAGCTGAGGGAACTTAAATTCAGAGAAGTTAACTGACTTGCCTAAGGACTCATGTGATAAAGGATGGAATGGAGGTTCAAGCCTGCCTCTCTGCGCCAGACAGCCTTTCTTCTGCTATTCCATGTGGTCCTCACTGTATCTGCTGCTAGGCTTTCTGATTCTGTGTATGATACGGTTTCTATTCTTTACTTCTCCTTCTATTTATTTCTACTGTGCTGCTTCTCAGAAGACTGATCCAATCTTTTTCCATTTAAGACTCTCAAAGTCAAAGTTCTACCTTCAACTCTCTGTCCCTGCCTTTAGAATAGCAATAGGTGTCACTGAAGAATTAGGCTATGTTCTTCAGAGGGACACAAAAATAAATAAAACACACATCTGACACTTGGGAGCCTGCAGTCTGTCAGAAGGATGGACCTTTCCAATAATCTTGAAATAATGTGGTAAGTAAGGTAATAGACATCTGTAAGGGTATGCATAAGAATTTACAGGAGAAATGGCAGCTAATGCCCAGAAAGACTTACTTGAAATTCCCACAAAATCTTAAAAGGCTTTCTAAGTTTTACTGGGAGCCTGAAGAACATCAATTAACCATGACTACCTATACTGTATAATAAACACTCATGAAGATATAAACTGGGTAGAAGCTGACTATTTCTGGATTCTTAATATGTATCATTGTTTCAATATGACCTTATCCCCACACAGTGAACACGAGTAGAGTCAGCATTTGATCCTAATTATTCATACATCATTCTGCCTCTGTCCTCCTTCACAGCTCCCACTTTTGAAAAAGGAAGGGCACCGCTCCACAAAACAGCAAAGGGGTGAAGAGAGAGTGTCAGAAACTGTAATCCAAAATGGTGGCTGCTGAGAAGGACACAATACACTTGCAAGAAATACATGCTCACAGAAAAAGCAGCACCAAACCTGAGGTCAGTGGGCACTCAGTTTTAATCATCCGGGCAGGAGGGAAATTAGTCTTTTCTCTCCAAAAGGAGGCCATAAGTGTAGTCTTTATTCCCAGCTGCATTCCCTGGAGAACAAGATGTTCTTAGTTTAAGTGGAACCTAGGGCTGTAGACTTTGGCAGAATTAATAAATATGACTTTATGAAAGAGAAAGGAAGGAACGGAGGGAAAAATACCAGAGAGGGTAACACATGTGACCTGACAGTATCAGAGTGTTCACGGATGGAGCGAACACTCACTTCAATTATCGCCCCACAAAATGAAGATGCCCCTGACGACTCTCTTTCTCTTGCCATGTTGGGAAAAGAGTACACATTATTGGACAACCATTTGGCAGAATAAGGGTTTGCTTTCTGCACAGTTATCCTAGACCATTTGTATACTTGTCTATAATTTTAATGAGCACAGGTCTGGGAGGAGGAAGAACAATCAGGAAACCAATGCAGTAGCCCAGGTAGGAAATGCTGAGGCCCCCAAGAAGGGACACAATGGTAGGAATGAGGAGAGCTACTCATGGAATGATCTGGTGACTGACTGGCCTGGTGACTGACTGGACCTGGCAACTGTCTCCACGTGCTCTGTGAATTATGGATTTCAGGGGGCTTCCACGGAAATGGCCTGTTTCCCCTTTCTTCTCATGTTCTTTCCCTTTTCCCATCCTCAGGGTTTGCACCTACCCACCCTGAGGCCACACTAGCAGTTTTGCCTCCCGCTTTCTGCTTTCCTCACCCAGTAAGCATTTACAAAGTGCCTAACAGTTCACCAGGAATGCCACTACTTTATACCCATCAGCTATGGACCAGACATGGCATGGTGCTTAAACACTTCATGTACATCACGTTAATTCCTTGACACACTCCTTAGAAGAGCTTTGTCACCCCCGGTACAGATTAAGACACGAAGGCTCACACCACACAGCTGGCCTCGGATTTGAATTTACATTTGCGTGACTCCAAAACCTTTCCACCAACCAAGTTACCATTCCCTGCCCATATGCAATTTACAAAATAGACAGTATGAGGAGGGGCAGGTCAGGAAAAATAGGAGGAGTATCAGGTTAAGTTTTGAGAAACAAACAGAAACATAGAATTTAATGTATGAACAAGTTTGGATTGCAAACCTGTAGTATGCACATATTCTTGCTGAGACAAGGTGAACGCAGGTGACAAGGAGAAGGTGGTATTATTTACATAAGATGTGGTAGAGAACATCTTAGAGCTGTCTCTTAAAGAATGCAAGAGCCATAGAATGATGGAGAATTGAAGGTGAAAACTTGGTGGCAAAAGGGGTAGGACACAAAAGAGCAGATGGGACAGGAAGCGGGACACGGATAGGGGGATAGCGAGGTGATGGATTCACTGTTTTGAGCTCACTGAGAGACATGAAAAATGAGGTACTTCACTTTTACAAGGCTGGATGTCTCACGGGGACATCTTAGAGTTATATTCAGTACTGGAAAGCAAAAAAAGAAAACTCCTTTTAGATACTGGGGAACAAATGTCTAATTTGAGCTCAGATTTCTGTGTAGCACTTTTAAAACTTCCTCTCATCCACTGAGCCCTCTTTGGTTTATCTTGCCTCTGGGTCTGTTTTCCCTCCGTCTGTCTTTGACACTCTTCAGTTGTCCCTAATATATTTAGCTGACTTTTTCCAGTAAAGAATTAGGTGTCTGCCAAGTGGCCAGTTCCAGCTTCTCTTGTCCTTTCTTTCTCCAGTTCACCCCCTCTCTGCATTTCTTACTACTTATATCTTCAGAGTTGCTTCTCCTTCTCCTCCCCTGTCTGATTCCTTTCCTTTCTGGTGAGTATTGATGCTCTTTTTTTTTTTTTTCCTGCTTCTTCCTTCCATCCCATGGGCCACACCTTGAGAACCACTGGAGCAGGGGTACCAACAGCCATCAGGTCAAGACTCAGCTGCACATGGCAGCGGTTGGGCAGGGGAGTCAGAGGAGGGAGTAAAGTTTTTCCTTGTCACACCAACAAGTGCTAGGAAGGATAGAAGACTAGGAAGCTCTGGTTTAGGGATCCAGAGGACATGCTGGGGGTTCAGTGAGGAGGGGAGGACACATGGGGAAAGCTCTGTGTTGTAACCTTCTGGGAAACACGGAAGCCAGCTCCAAGCCCTGTCACCCACCCTTCCTTGCCATCACGCATAGAAGCAGCAGAAAGGAATTCTCAGGATTCCTTTGATCTCTTCCCAGTTCTGAGTCCTCTGTCTGTTTATCTCCCTCCTTCCCTGGCCTCCTCTTCCCTCTTTTTACCCCCTGCCCAGTGGATGAGTCACTGCCCCTCCTCCCCACCCTACTGCCATCTGTTTTTCTAATGATGGCAGAAGATGAGCTGTTTTGTTGGCCCACGCTGTAACGAAGCATACTCCATGCTAGCATTTTTCCTGGTGGACTCTCAGAATGCTATTTTATTGGTGTCATTTCCCCCACCCAGTTTTCTCTTTGTCTCAGTCCCCACCCTTTCCCCTTCTTTGGCCTCATGTAGATCCCAGTTTCCCAGAATTAGATAAAGAGAAACAGGGATACAGAAGAGCCCAGGGACTGACAAGCATGTGGGTTGGGTGTGTGTTGGGGGAGGGTGCTGGAAATCAGTAGCAGTGCAACAACTCTTGCTAGCACACAAGGAGCAGCCAGAATTACCCAAGTGTCACCGCTAAGTGGCTTAATTACTTGCAGTGAGAGATTTGGATGGCAAAACGTATTGTGACTGAGGGGCCATCCCCAGGGTGAGAGGGTTTGAATCTTTTGTGTGTGTGTGTGTGAGAGAGAGAAGTGCCCCTCCCCCCGCCCATGTCAGGATTCCTGGGTCAGTCTCCCTCAGTAAGGCTCTGCCTCATTCTTGACTCTTCTTCACAATAACTCCTGCTAATCTAGCTAAGGAATTCACAGCATGCTAAATCCCCTGCTAGAAGGGACTCCCCTGTGTGAAGAAGTACGTAGGATTCCCTGAGGAAGTAAAGGTCTGGTTTGAGTTAATCAACAGTGGATTATAGGTCTACCTCAGAGGTTGAGAACCTAGATGCCTGCATGACCCAGGCAGTTGATGTTAACGAGGGATGCGCACTAGGTAAGAAGCCACAGGGAGAGGGGGGCATCTTGCTGACCCAGAGAGCAGCTGTCCTTCTGGGGCTGTGGCTGTTACTCAAAGCCAGCTAATCGTTGCCATGGTTGCCAGATAGTCATGTTTTTCAAGAGACAAATCTGCACAAAGTGTTTCATATTGAGGAGGAGGAGGAAGAAGCGGAGGAGGAGAAGATGAAGAGAAAAAGAAATCCTAATATCTGTAATTTGGGGATTGGAGAGCTAAATATAAGAGATTAAACAAAGGGCACAGGAGCAAGATCTTGAATTAGAAAGACTCAACTCCCTGTGAGTTAAGCAGACTAGAGAACTCTAGTCTGGGTTTGGGAGGGGGAAGCAGCTTACCTCACACGACTGAATGCAGTGGACCAGGACGGGGTCTGGGTGCCATTGGCGCCGCCCAGTGCATACGATGCTCTGAAGGGGAAGAGGAAAGAACAGAAAACAAAAACAGAGAGCCCTGGTCAGTAAGAGAAGGAGCAAATCCTGAGCTCCCCCTACCAGCCCAACCTCATTCCCTGAGGAGGGAGACCCTGGCTGTGCTCCATCCAGAGGGCCGAGGCCAGTTGGTCTTTCCTGAAGAACACTAATCCTGCCAGCTGGTGCCAAGGTGGAACTCTCATCCTCTTCATCCTCCTTCACCCCCCACTTCTCCAAAGTATCAAAATTTCCAGAGAGGTGTAGGTGTAATTTTAGAAAGCATCCTCAATGTTGTGATGAGTTTAATTTGGTTCTAGGCATAAGATTGTTTCCATTTGTTTTTGAAGTTTTCAATAACATTACAAGAAACTGTGAGCTGTCTGTGTTGACCAGGAAGCACTGTGGATTTTTAAGAGCTGAGAAATATAGCTTCACAAGAGGAGTCTTGAACTAAAAATGGATCTCAAGAATCCGAGATGATAAGATGTGAGTGCCAAGCAAGGACCAGAGGATACATTGCACAATCTGCACTCTTGTTAGCACATTTATTGCTTCCTCGTGGAAAATAAAAGAAGGTCTAAGCATTGGACAAATAGGGTTAATGTGACACCACTGGGGCTCGAAATGGCATCCACATCAAACTGGAGAGAGCAAAACCACGTTCGTATTAAACACTGATGACTGTCTCTGTCCCAGTGGCCATTTCCAGATGTGCACTTAAACAAACAGCCATCTACTCTTTGTTGAATGATACTTATCACTGAACTTTTTCCTTTTAATTTTTGTCTTTTAAAATTCCAAAAGATACACTTCAGGAAAAGAGAAAGTCCCACAGGAGGCTTCAGGGAGAAAAGGAGATTCTCTCCATAGCCAGCTATCAACCCAGTCATTTGTAGACTTTCATACGCACATGTAAATTCACTGTGCTAGGAATACAGTGCAATCACAAGAAAAATAATACACAGTCAGATATGAGCTTTACACAAGATAGCACTTCCAGCAATTGGAAATTATACATTCTAGAATGCTAAGACTGTGCAATAATCAGATTGGAGACATTTGCATATATTAATATGTAGGTATATGAATATACAACTCATAGTTATGAGAATGGGAGTCTGCAAGATTTTCCTGGAGTTGTACTGCTATAAACTAAAACTCCTCTTTTACCACTGCCCTAAAGAGGAGATAAATACCATATATCCTAACAATTTCTGATATTCATAATTCCACATTATAATAGCATAGAAATTGACTCGGTTTTAAAAAGGATTATCAAATCTATACAGAATCCTACAAATATATAAGGTAAACACAATAAGGGTGTTCAGCCTACTAAAAACTGAGGTATTCTGCACTAAAAGCCACTTAAGCAGACCATTTGCATATAAACAATGGCTCTGCTACCTGGAAAGGACTCTTGTTTATGTTTTAAAACCAGTATCAACGGAACTCTATTTAGCTAGCAATGGTCCTGACTTCTATTATTTAAAATATCAACATTTTATGCTTCCTTGTTGTCACCAGATAATGATAAAGCATAAAACAGGAAGTTTTACCCTTGAGATGTAAATACATAGCAATCTTATTCCTTCTTATGGCACCACATTCTCTAAGGATCCCCATTCCCCATCCTTGTCAGTCAGACATTCAAATGTATACAGGCTTCAGGCACTATGAGCCAGATTCCCCAGTCAGCAAGAGGGGTCTGAAGATCCACAAATCTAGTTGCTGTCCTTAGAGAGGTCAATTCTACCACACAATAAGGGGATATTTAGCCTTGGCACCCTCACATGATGTCCATGGCCAGAACTCTCCAGAACATTCTAAACTGACTGTACCAGCTTCTCTTATGCCGTCTAAACCTTCTATCCCATCCACCTCTTTCATAAATGTAGGAGTGTGGGTTTGTTAACACTTTAGAAATTCTAAGGATATATTGCAAAGGGGGGAAAGAAAGAAAGGAAGAGTCTGCCTTTACTTTCGATTCGGTTTCTTCACTCTTTTGTCCTATCGTCTCCAACTGATGTTTTCTATCTTTGTATATTTATATAATTTTATCACTATGTAATACAAATTCATAGAATATAAAACGTTTAAAGGGTACACAATCTCCCTCCTATTCCTGACCCCCAACCACCCAAGTTCCTCCATTTGATTTTCTGTATTTGTATCATTGCAGAGATATTCTATGCATATGCATACATATACATATGAAACTATTTCCACATACAAATTATAAGATACCATAATTTTATTTTGTACTTTGGTCTGTTGCTGTTTGCTTGCTTGTCTTGATTTCACTTCACAGTGTTTTCTCAGGGTTCTGTTCATTTTATGTTATCTGGAGTATTGCATCCTATTGATTGTGTAGTATTTCTTTGCATGTATGAACCCTCATTTACTTAACCAGACCCATACTGATGGATATTTAGGTTATTAACAGTCTTTTGCTCCAACAAACAGTGCTATGCATAAATCATTTCATTCATGGGCAACTATATCTGTAGAATAAATTCATGATAGTAGAATTGAGAATACCCATCTCAATGATTCCTTAATGTTCTGTAATTCAGACATGAGATGAATTCAAACTGGCAACCTTCCTTAATCTCTATAAAATTGCAACAGCTTCTGGTACCTGGGTCATATGCCTTCCTAGATTACTAAATCCTTGAGAATACAGACTGTCTCCCATTCATATATCTTATCTCAGTGACTTAGAGATGATGTTCTTCAAGCATTTGTCAACCACTAAATATGATGTTGGAGCTCTAGGATTCCTGACTACCTTCTAGCCTGTGAATGTCATTCATCCCATAAGAAAAGATATGCTTATGTCATTAATTGAACTACTACTTATTGATCAAAACCGGAGGAGAATTTCAAATGTGTTTCAGGCCTTAAATTTTGTGGGCTGGTTTGTGATGGTGAGGTGAAAGAGGGGAGTGAAACAGGAAGAAAAGCAATGAGAAGGGCTAGCTACTGGTGAGATTAGTTAAATTAATTCAACAAGGAGGTCATCAGCCTGAGGTGGCTCTGATCCATGGTGGCCTACTTAGGCAACCCAATATCTAAGCCTGTGAATACTTCAAGGATACGAAACTGAAAACTATGGACAACCAATCACAAAGAGCCAACTAGGCTTTAAGCTATAGCCAATCATAGTATCCTTACTTTCCTTCTGTCTTTTGCTCTACCATAGAGTCTCTCCTGAGCTCCTCTTTGTGGAGCACTCCTAACCACTTCTGGTTTGACGCTGCCTGACTTAAAGAGAGTTTTGTTCCAACAGACAATATACGGTAACAGTCACCTTACAGGCAATACAATGGCACTAAATTCCTATCTTTCAATAGTTACCCTGAATGTAAATGGG